ATGTCACATAGTACATTAGTGTGTCAAAATAAGCCAAAAGCATTGTATTTCTACCATTACATTTTCCAGCCAAGGGTCATTACCAGCTAGGCTGTCTATGATGACACTGTTGGACAATAATATTAGTGACCCGAACACTAAGAAGTATAATGATACATACATGGTTTTGAACCTTCAAGAATTTCAAGGAAATAAACCTTGACCATCCTCCTTTCAACCTCTGCACGAGGACTTGAAATACACGGTACAGAAATGAATCTCGAAAAGCTTATGTTTTATGCATTGCGTAGCAATCATTTGAAACGTAACACGGTCTGGAACCCCAGATCAAAAAGATTAGTGGACTATTAGACTATTGCAAATTTTACAGGCATTTTAAAGTGCTGATCTGTCAGTTTCCCGTAGTTGTCAACCTATTGGTTTTTCCAAGCCATTTGGAAAAGGTAATGCCCCGTGCTATGAGGTATACAATGAAACAGACGTATGCAGCTGTAAAGACGAATACCACAGATGTAAATATAACTCCACTCCCTTCAGAAGAGAAAAAATCCACCAGAAGGTACCCGTTGATCACTATCACCAAAGCAGCCACAAGCCATGATATAATCTACAAGCAGAAATTCATAAAGTTAAAAACCATACGTTGCTTGGGCCAAGTAAGAGCTGAAACAAAGCAATAGAACAAGCACGCTTGAAATATTATAAATCAATTTCCTTCACTCTTAAGATCAATTGTCATGAGAATGTAGCATTTAGACTTGCAAGGGAAGATGGACAACCATGATCTTCCACATATATGTGAAACCACAGACGAAAAATGAAAAGTAAAATCAAATGGCAATATTAAAACAGGTCATAATTTTTTTCATTGATTTCATACACTTCAAATGAAACAATGCCGAACATATGACATTTGCATAGATATGCCCCACCACCTACAATGTAAAAGTTAGCATGGTAAAATTATCTAATTGTCTGCTAAGAGGAGAACAGTTTAACCAAAATGCTCTTTCTCATGCAAAAAAAAATATCAACCAAAAAATTGGTCAGGTGAAGGGCAAGTATCATTACTAAATTTGCCAAGAATTGTTCCTATTTCATGGTGCAGGACCTATCCCCTGAGGTCCACTCTTACTCAAACCCCTTTAAAGAACGAAGAATGCAATCAAAATTAACTGTGTGACGGATGTCAGCATGATATAATAAGTTCGGTCATGTAAAATAATACAAATGTACAGAAGAATGCACAAATCTAATAATGCTATCAAATTTTATCAAGAAGAAAAACCTGGAGAACAGTGCCAATTTTGAAAATGCCCATGACTTCCTCCTTTGCCACCAGGCAAAGAAGCGGAATAAGAGCAAATGGGATCTGAATTGACTGAAGCACATTAAGCCATTCATTTAAAACATCCAACGAGTCCTCAGATGTATCAAAAACAAGGGCAACTATTAGAGTCGGGATGATAGCACAGCTTCTTGTTATCAGTGCTCTCATCCACTTTTTCAACCGCAAGTTTAGAAATCCCCCCATTATAAATTGCCCCGCATAGGTGCCAGTTATAGTGCTACTCTGTCCGGCAGCCAGTAATCCAATAGCCCAAATGTATAAGATTGGGAACAATCCTCCACCATACTTTTCTTGAAGATACTGCCCTGCATTTCCAAGGCCAATGTTATTGGCTTGTTCCGTACCATAAAACGCCTTTGCAAATACTGTTGTCACAAACAGATTTATAATGAAAGAGATAGCGAGGGCAGCGCCAGACTCTATCGAGTAATATTTTAGAGCTTCCCGAACTCTGCCTATCTTGCGGTTGTCAACTTCACGAGATTGTACAAGAGCAGAGTGCAGAAATACGTTGTGAGGCATTATAATGCATCCCACAACTCCAACTGCTTGCTTTATTGTCTTGGAGCTGAGTTTTGGAACCACGACGCCTACAATGACAGTTAACATTTAGTAGAGAAGCTCACGGTTTAGTATTAAGTATATTGAATTTTGTTTCAAAATTTGCACTCTCACCAATTAAAAGTTCGACACCACTGGGTTTAGTTTCACCAAACAACCACGCAAATGAGAGGGCCATAATTGCTATAAGGACAGCAAAAAGGGCTTCTAATTTCCGCACTCCATAGTTCTCCAGAAACAGAAAGATGAAGCTGCATCAAGAAGATAGAACTCACAATTAGACAATGACTATAGTTCTGGATTAGTCTTTATAAGATTCCCCAATATAACTTGAAAACAAAAAGTACGTACAAACAATTCCTACTCGATTACTGTATAAGTTCAATGCTATGAACTTCAACATTTCAAACATGGAAAAATAAGCTAGAAAAAAAAGATAAAGTCAAAACTGAAAGCATATTTTTTAGCAAAATTGAAACTTGGTTTACTCTTTCTTACTATTTTTAAATAATCAAAAGTTTTATATGAAACAAAACAATAAAGAATCCCAATTACTTGCACCCAGAAGTTAAAAGGGGTTGACTAGTGATTTAAGTAAACAAGATACTTCATAGCAAGAAAAGCATCCAATTCCAACTCAATACATGCAGTTAACACTCCAAGATATATTTTTTAATATTGAACGTAAAATTTTAAATTAAATAAAACAAGAATGAGTAAAGTTAAAAAATAATATATTGTTCAAAATTTTACCAGTCCAGAGCAGTGATGATGACGCCAGCCCAAAGAGGCAAGACACCATGGCTCAAAATCTTGATAGCAATAGCACTACCAATCACCTCCTGAATGTCAGCCCCAATCAGGGCCAACTCCGCCATGACCCAAAGCAGTAGCCTGGCCCAATTAGGATACTCCTCCCTGCACAACTCGGCAAGGTGCCGTCCAGTAGCTACGCCAAGCCGGGCCGACAGCAACTGGACCAAGAGGCCTATGACTGTGGCCCACAGTAGCAGCCAAAGTAAAGAGTCACCCGCAATAGCGCCCGACTGGAGGTCCCCCTCCAGGTTGCCCGGATCCAGGAAGGCTATACTCATCAAGAACCCCGGCCCGGTGAACAGCCAAAGCTTCCGCCACGAAAACGGCGGAGCTTTAGTGGAATACTCGTCGGCTTCGTTTTCTTCATCGAGTCCAATTATGTGTACTTTCTCTGTGCAATCATAGGCCCTCTCTTCTTCATCTTCCTCGTACAAATCAACCGATCGTTCAGCAAGTAATCTCTGTTGCTGTTCTTCCTCGTTTAGGGGCATATTTTCCTTAAAGAAAAAGGAAAATCAAGAAGTGAATAAGGAAAAAGAGTGGAATATTGTGGGTTTGGTTTCGGGAAAGTGATATGAGGATGGGGGAATGAAAATGGGGTTGCTGCTTTATAGGTCTTAATCGATAAATTCCAAGAACGAAGCAAACTCTCGTTCACAGCGGCCCCCCTTTTTTCCTTCAATTATTTTCTTGTTTTTGATTTTGTGATTTTTTATTTTTCTTACATTATTTTGGATATGAATCATGTGATTCGGGGATTTTGCAGAATATAAATTCCACGTGAGCAAATGAATTTTTTTTTTAAAAAAAAACCTGAGGTTCCAATGTTTTGTAATTAATTTTCTTGGACTATATTGCATGTTAAAATGTCATTATTTATTTATTTATTTATTTTTTTGCAGAGTTTCCCTTTTTTTACTATGTTATTAATTATTATTGTCCAAACACGGGATGTGACTTGTGAATTAGTAAGAACATTTTGTTATCACGGTATATAAAAAAATGCTATTTAATCTCGTTGAGGTTACAATTTCAATTTATGTGGCGTTAATGTGATCGTCTAGCTCCACCTAAACTTGAATCGTAATCCCAGTAGAACTACCTATTATTGCTATTGTATATAAGTCAACTATTACTTATCACTAACTCTATTATTTATGAGAATTTATTCATACATATGCCCATGAATAGGATTAGGATAAGATAATTATTGAAAGCGGACTTCATTTGCCCACAATTTGAATTTTGAACACAATACTATTATCAACAGTGTTAGATATACATTAAAAGTTTGACATCATTCTAACACTCCATTGTTTTCAAAAAGAAGTGTGGCGGGAAAGTGTGTGTTGTCCAATATGATGTCGTCTAGTGATGGCAATCGAGCCGA